GGACGGCCTAGAGTTTAGCTTAGGAAGGACAACGGACGGTCAGGACTCGAGAGGGAATGTAGCTAGTGGCCTAGCTGCTTAGTGTTTAGAGCCTAGGGACGAGTTGAACAATAGAAATGGCAGAAGGCAGTCGACGGGGCTGCTGGATGGAAAAAGGCGATCGGCACAGCCGCAAGATGATGCGTCTGGCAAAGTCCGGGTTCACTCGCGAGTCGCAAGTGCATGCGAAATGAACTCAACGAACAAAATTTCAGGTCATTGTCGGGTTGATTTCGGGTTTCTAGGTCAACCCAACTCGATTTTTGAAACAAGTCAAAAATCTGAACCTGAACCGGACCCGTTTGTTAACTAGGTCAACCCGAACCCATATTTTCTGGGTCGGGTCCTAGTCAGGTTTCAGGTCGTGTCAAAAATTGACACCCCTAATATTTAGTACCATACATGAGAACGTTCTTTAAAAGTTAGAGTCAAAAACACTTTCTTGTAGTGTCAATCATCCTCCTCAGGTTCAAGTCATAAAAGTTTAAAAATAATAGATTAACACAAATTTTTTCTTGAATATTTATTTTTCTAATATGATTCTTAGATAATCTTGTTGGAGAATTTTTGTATCCTCAAACGGATTGCATATTTTATAATCGAGTACGGCATAAGAACATGATATATTACCCCGAAGGGTAAAAATATCATTTCCTTATGGACTCAATGATAAAATTTACAATTTAAAACAGAGATTCCACAATTCGATGTTTGGTCGAATGGGGTTTATTTTATTTCTGGGGTATAGACGTCCCATAGGGGCAAGCCCCTATGGTTAACTGCATCCCAAGTTTGGCTTGGAAAAAACTTTTGATTAAACTAGTGGTTTTGCTTTCTTTTTGAAGTCATTTAAACGTTGGCTAAGATTTGATTTTTGAAATCCATGAAAGTCTTTGTTAAAGGATTTGGTCCTTTAGAAATTTCAGAGAGGAGTTGATCAACTTAGAAATTAGATTTTGGAATGAAGGTCAAAATAGGTGAAGTGGGAGCACTTGATTCTGAGGGACACTCAGAGGTGCTCAAACTATCCTATGTTGGGCTTTACATTTTAGAAATCTAATTTTGGTTTAAGTTGATATTTTAATTAGAAAGCTGGGGCTTACATTCCAACAACACATGTTGGAGGAATTGCCCGAAAGGTTAGGGCTTATAGGGTGATTTAGAATCAACTCATGTCTCTGACCCTAAAACTAAGGTGAAGACTACCGATAGGTAGTGCCTAGAACCTAAATCTAATGAGTGCAAAAGGAACTTACAAATTACACCTCACATGAGGCATAATCTGCCCGACCTGGAAGGGACTACCAGCTAAACCCTCCTAATCGCTTTTAAAATCATGTGTCTTGGTCTCCATGCAAATGTAGAGCGGATGGTTATTTTTATTTAGAAGGTAGGCCTTATAACTTGGCTTTGAGGCCAAGATGCCTATTTACGTGGGTATGCAGATGCTGACTCACAAAAAGAAAGATTTTTTATTATATAATCCTTATGTGGAGGCTTTTCTACATGAGACACTTGTTGGGCTATGCATGTTTATTTTTTATTTTTGGAAAATTTGGATCTTTGAAGGGAGCCATGTAATTTTTCTTATTTAGAAAACATGAAGCCTAACTTTATTTTTAGATTGCTTGCATTTTAAACAGTAGAAGATTTATTTTATCCTAAGAGCCTACCGTAACAGAGTCCAGGCCACACCCAAATAAGCAAAAGAAGAAACCTAGGAAAGACATGTTGTTCTATTGCACACCCAGTAAACAAACAACGCATGCTTTTGTATATAAATAAAGTGCAATAAATGTAGATAGAGTCCAAGTTATTACAAACATGTTTGGCAGCTGAGTTGTCTGCCATTATACAACCCAGTTAAATTTATTACAGACTCTACTTGTGGGGTCTTCAAGCTTTACAAAAGATCTTTGAGGTTTCATTTCCAAAAAATGTATATCTTTCCCATTTCGCTCCCTTCTTTTGTTCCAAACCCCCACAAGTTTTACATCCTACTTCTATCAAATACATTTAAAAATATAAAAGACTCAAACCTGCAAAATAAAGTTAGACAATAGTTTATATAATCATCACATTATATTCCCAAAGTTGGTCTAGTACTTAGAGTGCTAAGTGCTAGGTACCTGCTTCTACCCTATTGGTCATGTCTCTTGGGGGGTTTTAAGCAGCGCCTGCAAGCAAACAGCATTAGCATAATCATGACATTTACCCCCTTCTTGGACATGGCCACCTGTACAGAAAAGTATTTATATCTTTCTATACTAACCACTTAAGGGTAAGTGCCCACAACGCAGACAATCCAAAAGGCAATCACTCCACAACATTAATCACATGCGCACACAAAGAAAAATCATAATCCTATCATGCCTAAGAGGTTGTGCACCTAAGTGTGTGAGGCTTGTATGGTATGTCACACTAAGGGTCCAAAAGTTTGGGTCTGAGGAAGTGTCCAACAAGTGGCTTTTAAGCTCAATATTGGAGGAATTCTCTTCCTAACTTTTGGAGCTAGGAGAAAAGTGAATTCTTTTAGCTTTGAGGCTAAGGAACAGAAAGAAAGATAGTACAACACAACTTTTGGGCCAAATGTTGGGAGAATTCTCCTTAGCTTTTGGGGCTAAGAAGTGAAAGGAGGAATCTAACATTTAGCTTTTGAGCTAAATGTTGTAGAACTCTCTCTAACTTTTGGAGCTAAAAAGAAGGGAAATCTCCTACAACATTGAAGTTGGAGGAGAATCGAGGGAATATGCAACTTATGGGTTGCACATTCATGAAGATCTTCGAACACTTTGATGTCCAAAAGAGGGTTGCATCCCTCCAACTTGAGTTGGAAGGATGAAAGGATGAGATTACTTGTTGCTTTTGGTTCAACAAGTAAGATAATTTGAAATAAGATTGAACAACTCAATATGGGTTAAGCACAAGGGAGTTCCATACAACTTTTGAGTTGTAGGAATGTTGAATTTCTCTACGATTTTGGGTTTGTAGAGAAAAGAGGAAGATGCAACTTAGGGGTTGCAACCTTCCGAACATCCCTTTGAACATTTGGTGTTCAAAGAGAGGGGTATACTCTCCTAACTTTGGTTTAGGAGAGTAGAAGGGAAGAGAAAGTGAAAAAACCTATGGCTTCGAGCTAAGGTAAGGAATTCCTTAAGACTTTTGGAGCTTATAGAAATGAAAAAGGATTTGTAATTTTAAGGTTACAAATCAAGAAGATGCCTACTTGAATTTTTGTATTCAAGGAGGTGGAGTTTCATTTTCTTACTTTGGGTTAAGAGAAATGAAGAGAAATTTGGTGGTTGTCTACAATAGATTTGTAGGAGAAGAAGTAGTCCAATGTGCAATCTAGGGATTGCAAATTGGAGGAGTTCCTTAAAACATTTGGTGTTCAAAGAAAATGTTCATTCCTCCAATTTTGGGTTGGATGAGAAAAGAAGAGGGGATGTGACTTGGAAGTCATAACCCCAAGAGAATTCTTTGAACATTTTGGTGTTCAAAGGGAAGTGCACATTCTCAAAACTTGGATTGAGAGAATGAAAATATCTTCCTACAACTTTTGAGTTGTGGAAAGATGTGAAGGAATATACAACCTATAGGTTGTACATGAAAAGGTAAATCATTGAACTATGTGTTCAATGATGTATCATCATTTATCAAATGTGTGTAGGGCAAATAAAAGAAGAGGCGTCCAACTTGAGGGTTAGAAGCTCATGATCGTTCCTTGAACATTTGGTGTTCAAAGAAAGGTGTACATTCTCTTAATTTGGGACTTTAAGAGAATGGGATAGTTCCCTACAATTTTCAGATTGTAGGAAAGGGAGGATGAAAAGATTTCTTACAACTTTAGAGTTGTAGGAAAGGGGAAGTGAAGTGCAACTTGTAGGTTGCAAGTTAGAAGAATCCTTTTGAACATTTGGTGTTCAAAAGAGAACAACACAAATTCACTTAATTTAGGCCAAGTGAAATGGGGCGGTTTTCTACACTTTTTCGTTTGGTAGAAGAAGGAAAGGATGTGCAACTTAGAGGTTACACATTCACAAAAGTTCGTTAGGCTTTTAAGTGCCCACAGAAAGGGGTTCACTCACCTAATATGGGTTAGGAGAATGAGGGGGGCATGAGAATAATATTCCTATATTAAAAATATAGGGATACGAGTTATTTTTACCCAACAAAAGGATTTTGTTGGATGCAAACTCTCCCATAACTTTGAGGTTAAGGGGGTGAAGATGTAACTTGAAGGCTACAAAACTTCTAGAATGCTTCTTTGAATATTCGATATTCAAAGAAAAGGGTTGCATCCTCTCAATCCGGATTTGGGAGGATGAAAGAAGGTTCATAAGCTCTCTTATAATCTTAGCTCATAAGAGGTTATGATTAGAGTGCAACTTACAAGTTGCCAATTGAAGGTGCACTTTGGACATTTGGTGTCCAAAGAGAGGTTGTCATCCACATAATTTAGGCTAAGTCAATGGAGGAAGGGGACTTAGATTTAAATTCCAAACCTAAAGGATTCATTGGTTTTGCATTCCAATGAATGAGTCATTTGATAAACTCCTTACAACTTTAGAGTTAAAGGAGGGAGATGTAACTTTGGAGTTACAAGATTTCATAAATGCTCTTTGAATACTTGGTATTCAAGGGGAAGATCATTCACTTGATTGAAGCCAAATGAATCGAGATAAATGCTCGTTTGTTGATTTTATGGGTTACACATAAAGGAGGTAGCTTAGGATTTGGCCCTAAGCTCCAAATAATTCACGTAATGATATGCTTGGAGGCTAAAAAGAAGCTCCAAAAGTGAGGTAAACGAAGGAGGTGATTTGTAATTTTTAAATCACAAATCAAGAGGCAACCATCAAGTTTTAGACTTGATAATGCAAGATCATTTAGCTTAGGCAAATGAGATAGGGTAGGAATTCATTCATTGATCTTTGTGTTTCAAACGAATGAAAGAGAGATATAGTTAGATTTTTGGCTCTAAGCTACAAGATTTTCATATAAAGATAGGTTGGAATTTTAGAGAATTCCAAATCATCATGTATGAAGGGAGAAACGTTCATTTGCTAACTTTGTGTTGTTAGCAAATTGAATGGGAGCTTAGGATTTGTTTCCTAAAATCTTGATTCATGCACTAATAATTGGGATTTAGAGAACACCCCAACTACTAAGTATGAGGGACATGTACATAAGGAAGAGAACTTCCCACTCTCCTACAAATGTTTTGGATTTGCTTGAAAGAGGGAAGGCTAACTTCCTAAAGCGTTGGGAGGTTTTCCCAAATCAAATTTGATATGATTTTGGGGATTTGGAAGTTTCTAGGAAAATCCTAAAGATCCGTTTTGGCAAGATCTAGGAGAAACCTAAAAGTAGACATGTGATGGTTTGTACCTCCTAGGTTAGGGCTAGGATTCACACAATCTCACATTTGGAGCCTTGAGGATGTTCCAAAATGTCCAAAATGAAGGGCGATGGACAAATGTTTGTTGATCTTGATCAATAAACAAAATGCCACGAACCTAGGATTTTGGTCCTAAGTCAAAAAGTTTCATGTAATAAAGTGTTTGGAGCCTTGAGGTGCTCCAAACCACTATGCATAGAGAAGGAAAGATTTTGTTAGAAAACTCCCAACTCATTGAAACAATCTCAAAATCAATTTTGGCATGATTTGAGATGTTGGATAGGGTGGACTTTCCCATACTACCTTTCTACAAAGACAACACATGGTGTCATCTAAGAAACCTAAAGACATAGGATGGAATGTCATTAGAAATCCTATGGATAGGCTCTAAGAATTAGTTTTCTAGAGTCTAAGGGAAGCCTAAGAGAGAAGGCTTTCGATTGTCTTTTCGAAAGCTTCACCAAGTGCCTAAGTTATGTGTTAACACCCTTGATCCATCAACTTACAAACTACAATAAACATGTCCAACAAACTTCCAATATATAATGGGGTGCAATCTATAAGCTCCTTGAAGCCATAGACCACTCCATCTTTGCTTTGCAAGCATCCATAAGTTTGGTGGACACATTCATGGTTTTGCAAATTGTAGGTACAAGGACCATAGCCATTGACATAAGGCGAACATTCAAAAGGCAATAACTCACATAAGCTCAATTTAGCATTTAGGAAGCGCATAAAAAAAGAGAAATTTCACTTCGTCTCCCTAAATTTAGAGAAGTTCAAGGATGTCTTCCAATCAACCTTTTAGTTGTAGGATTTGTAACATGAGTCAAAAATGCAAATGGACAATCCCACAACTTTATAAAAAAAGAATGATTGAAATACATGCTTGAACATCTAGTAAATCTAGAGGTAATTGTGTATGTCATGGCGGTGCAACCCTATCACATGTATATGCTAGTTTTGTCATAACATGCAAGTTTTAGGGGTATGTTAACGCATGCCACACTTAGATAAGAGACTCCACGCTCCTACATTTCATTCGACATCGAATAAGCCACTAAACCTAAGATTTGGTCGTAGGTAAGGGCATTAACTATGACATGAATGATATAACATGCAAAAATGGGGACATTGAACACCAATTCGATGCCCCACCACCTTGCCTCCATCCTTTTAGCTCTCATATGAGGGCAAATCATGAAAAATCACTTGATTTTCATGATTTAAACAAGTGGACAGCGGGGATAGGGTTTTAGGAGAGCGAAAATTGAAGTTTCTAAGGACCTAAGGCTTGGGGGCGTCAACCACACAACAATTGGCCTTGGGGGACCCTAGGTTTCACTAAGTTTCAAAGATATACCTCTCCCGGGTTGTCCTAGCGCTCCTACCCAAGTTCCGGCTCGCTGTCCAAGCTCCGAAGTCGCTGTCCAAGTCGCTCCGAGAGGTGGATTTGCTATCCAAAGCACTCCGGACAGCAGATTTCACTGTTTGAAGGCTCCCGGAAGTTGTTGTTTGCTGACCAAACTGATTTGAAGGCTCCAAACTGCTGTTTGGAGAGTTTCGAAGCCTTCCCTTACTGTTTGGAAGCTCCAAATAGCTTCCAACTCGCCTCGAGATCGCTGGAGACGAAGAAAGAAGGGAGTAGAAGCGTTCTACAGCAAGAATACACCAAACCCACCAAATCTGGAGGAAGTGGGAGGCTTTGGAGCAAACCTGGAGGCCGGCGACTCCGAGAGATGTGGCAAACGGGAGGAGACCGACGCCTGGAAGGCTTAGCCGAAGCCTTGGACGGGGTCGGAGGGAAAGTTCACGTACGGGAAGAGGGTTTCCGCCCCTTTCTCCCGCTCTCCGTCACTCTCTCTATCGCTCTCTTTCTCTGGGTCGCGGGACGGGCGAATGAAAACCACAGGGGGAGCCGAATGCCGCTCCCCCTCACTCTATCCACTCTCTTAGGGACGCACGCACAGAGCGGGTAGCCGCCCGTTCCGTCACATCTCTCCGCCTCGTAGCGAGAAACGAGAGAAAAAAATCTACTCGAGTAGATTTTCTGCCCATTAGATTTGAAATTGGGTGGGATTTGGGATCCAATCTCAGCCCTATATCAAGAAATATGATTAGGGAAATCAAATCAGCTATGATCTCATTAGTTAGGGCTGAACTTGAGCCTAAATTGGACTCAACTCAAATCAATTTGGGTCCGAGCGGGTCCGATCAGTTTAATTTTATGAAATTAAACCTGAATCGGCGCCGAATTGCGTCAAATCGCGTCGAATTGGGCTCGACGACGCTCGACGGGGTTTGATTGGGTTTGATTTGATTTTAATTAAATTAAATTGGGTTTAATTTAATTAAATTGAGGCTAAATTTGGATCAATTTTGCCTTGACGATGATCGATTGGGTTGATCGAGAGCGATCGAGCCTAGTCGGGCTCGATCAAGGTCGAGTCGATGCGAAAATATTCGTCAACAAATCTAATGATTAATAAAAAATAGAAATTTATTATTTATTAAATTTCATATCATTCATTCAAACACTTACAATATGGCATATTATCAAATATCAAACTCATCTACAATAACAACATCAAGCCTTTAACCCACTACGTGGGGTCAAATCCAGACTAATACAATAACTAATTAATTCTATAATCCCAAATTAGATTATATCCCTCTCTAGACATTGCATTACTAGAAGTTCCATGTGTTTTGATATCAAACATAATTCTCCAAATCTCAATAGGTAACTCTCATGAATCTAAAGTTTTATCTTTAAGCATCTTTTAGAACAACTCCATTTCGCTTATGCCTCATAAATCAATTCTCATGTTATGAATCAAATTTTCATAGATAACAACCTCATTGTTCAAAAGCCTATAGATGTCTCTGCTAAAGTAGAATGGGCAATCCCATGCATTAGAACCAGTAAATACATGATTTCAAAAGGAATTAATGTACGTGCAGTGATACCATCATCTTAGAGCGGTTGCTTCTGTGATTCAAACCAATGTCCTCCCAATTACAGATAATGCAATCTAACCAACATGCTTGCTCTTTAACAGAAACAATATGAATACTCTGATCTCGTAACTAGAATTGCTCCTTTAAAAATATGCTGGCAAAAATAATGTTTATGACTTAGGAAAATTTTAATGCTTCACGTTTTGTCATTCCTGGATTGTGCCACAAACCAAAATCATGATCAAGCAACAGTTAAAAACAAATATTCTTAGAGGCATTGAAAAAAGAATGTTTTTGGATTTTAAAATATGGCATTCAGAATACGTACAGAAGTTTATCTTCAAATATATGAATTGAACTTATTCCATCTTTCTGTTAAACGTATAAATTCAAAGGCAATTCTATTCATGCATTGGAAGGACAAAAGGCTCGAGAATCAGAAATTAACTTTTATCTCCTTGATTCAATAGGGTCAATATGTTAACGCATAGTGTGAAAACACTAAAATTATTTCTCTACTGACCTCTTCCGCAGCAGACCTTGGGGACAGTGATGAGCAGAGAGGAGCAGGTAATATTGCAGGTGCATGAGCACAAGGGATCTGAAACCTTTCCACAATAAGATGGCTAATAACTGCCTCAACTCCAGCCAATGAGTCTATGCCCTGCAGAATTGTATAACTCATATGTGAAAATAGATTTAGGCCAAAGAAAAGATGCCTTCCTAATAGATTGTATAACTCATTGCTTAAAACAAACCTACATTTTTCACCTAAAACCTGCTCTAGTTATTTCATGATTCCATTGGAATTTCGCAATGAAAAAGATGCCTTCCTTTTATTTGTCGACTTTTTAAGTTATTTCAAAAGATTGGTGGAGACTGAAGCTCTCGAGGGAACTAAAAATAAAAATTAGTAAAACGTTACAGTTATAAATTATTATTCTAGTATTATCAATTCCACTTTAACAAGTATAGTTTAGGTCGTTCATCAATGTTAGCATCAGATCATGAGAATTGAAGAATAAGGTTACAGAGTGTTTGATTACTTCTTTAGTAAGAATCAGAAAAAATACTTAATGAAAACTAAAATCGCTGTTGAAAATTACCTTTCCTTGTCGATAATCATCCATTTCTTCTAAATCATCTGGGAAACGCCCAACAACAGCCACTGCATTTACATGTGACTGACTAACTAACACATCGACTGCCCTTAGTAATGAATCAGGGTTCTTAATCCTCCCCGTTGACTGCCCAGTCTTGAGGTTGATCCATTTCTCAACCTACGGAGAAATGAGAGATTTTTAGTGTTCTCTTCCAAACGAAGTTGGTAAAGTTTCAAAACAACTCATTTTTCTTTGATTTGAAGTGAGGTTACAGGATTAAAGATTCAAAGTTCAATTTCTGCACAGATCTTGCTGCAAAGTTGTACAATGCAATCGCTTGACAGAAAAGAAATAACCTTCAAGTAGTTTAATGATTGATAGATTTTGGAATCTTCTAGAAATGTGTAAAATGCACGATGGACAGAGATTCCCATATAATAAAAAGTACATTCAACATATATTTAAAACATTGTGCTACGACAGATGTTTATTATTTGTTAAATGAAATAGAATCCTAAGCTTATAGAGAATAACACATGACCTTATGTAGAACAATAAAGTGTGTCACCATTCATGAAACTCCTAACTGAGGGGTTAGGGGAAGGTTGATGTATAGGCCTCATCACTACATTTTTAGAGAGGTGGTTTTCATGACTTGTACCCATGATATCTAGATCAATGATTGCCAGATCAAAATGAAAACTACAAAATCATTGATCCACCCGCCCTCACGAATGTAGAATGATGTAAAAAGCAAATACGCATTTGATAACTTCAATCTATTCAATGTGCCATCACTTTCATTTAGTTTATTTGGATGGATAGAAATTATGCAAAATACAGGAATATTCCTATGAATCATAAAAGAATTACTGCTAGAACCATGGAAAAAATAGTTGGTCTACATAAAACAAATTTCATAAAAAACAATCAATTTCGGGGCATTAAATTTGTTGCTAAAAAGTTAGGCATGACTCTAATTGGCAATCTTTTGGATAATTATCCCAAACTTATTTTTTGGCATATCCAAAAGAAAAAATTATCAAAACTAACACAAATGGTTCTATTTCAAATCCTAAATGCGGGCGTGATGGAATTATGCGAGACAACAAAGGTACTTTCCTACTTTCTTTTGCTGGCCCTCTTCATTCTTGTACCATTATTTATGCTGAAGTCATGACTATTTATCATGCACTCACATTTTACATTACTAAAATTTTCTTAAGAATATGGATTGAGGTAGATGCTAGTTTAGTCCTTCACTTACTTACTTCTGATAATTTAGATAAGTCTGATTCATTTTACTTGTTGAAAAATATTAAAAAATTACTTTCTCAATTGAATTACTCTATTACTCATAATTGGAGAGATAGGAATTCATGTGCTGATTTTTTAGCTAAAATGGGTGCTGATTTACTTGAATTTACTACATTCTCAAACTTAAATATTCCCTTTCTCTTGAGAGGTTTAATAAATTTGGATAAAAAAGTTTTGCCTTATTTTAGAAAATGAGCTTATGCTTTGGAAGTATTTTGTTTTCAATATCATTCTGCTTATTCATTTTCCAACTTTCATTTCCTACCTTTTATGGTTATATATCTTTGCCTTTGGGAGTTTCTTTCCTTTTGGTTGGAGGAGGTCACAATGGTTGATTTGGTTGAGCTTATGGTGAAGGCGTTAAGTCATGGTTTAATGGTTGGTGTTGAGGTCCATTGGTTTTTTTGTCTCTTTAGATCTTTATGCAGGTTGTTTTTTGAAAAAGGCCTGGATTGGATTTAATGAAGTTTTGGAGCTTTAGCATCTGACCCTTTCCTGAAGGCTTTTTTGGATTGTGGCTTTCTATTTAGTTGTACTATTTCATTGAAATTTTTTTGTGTACTATAGACAAGAATCTATTACTCTTTAGATTTTATTGATGTAGCTCTTTGAGCTTTTATAGAGCTTTGGATCCCTCCTAAGGATCTTGTACTCACCTGTTTTTATGATATAAATTTCCACCTTTTAAAAAAAAGGTGCTTGAAAGGGGTTCTATAGTTCTAAAAAATGCATGAGTTTAAACCACGTATTTGGATATGAATATTCCATAATTATAATTAGAACGAATTCATTAATGATATTTAACAGTTTTAAAGCATTATTCTTGAGAACTAGGTATTATCAAATTTTTTATCCCGCTATATTATATATCATGAACTCATGCTTTGTCAATAAAATGAATGAGCTAAGGATTTTGAATCCAAATTCATCTATGAGAAACACCAAAACCATACTATGAAAAGTAACAAGACAAATAGAAAAAAAAATTGAGAAACAAAAAGAATCTTAAGAAAGAAGTAATGAGATTTCACTATATTATGAAAAGTACAATACTTGAATACAAATGACTTGGTGTCCTTTGTTCTTCCCCTGACCCCATATTTATAGGTTTAGGTCAAGATTTGACAATATATGGAAAGGCTAATGCTGTTAAATATTTAATTACTTTAATTTCAAATACTCAATTAATTAACTACAGCTCAAATTCTCCTCCACCGTCTCACATTGAAGACTTCATCACCACCTAAAACCAAATGTTGTTCAAGCTATTTTGAGATATAGATTATGTATTATTTTTAATTTCTTATTATATATTAGATTTGTTTCTTATTTGAGTAGCTAATGTGAGGCCCATAAATCGGACTGAGCCTTGTATATGTACAAAAACACAAGTAATAGCTAATCAATTAGTTTACAATCTCCAACTTCTTTCATCTTCATCTTTATGGTAGTAGAGAGGGAAGAAGATGTTCATTGTGACCTCCCTTATCCTCGATTCTTGTCATTTGCATTAGTCTCGACCTCTCATGTCCTCGCTTGTCTTGTTTTTGTTCGTTTCTTTCACAACTCAACCCGGAGACTCGAATTAATGAGGCGGGAACAGACAATCAAAGGGTCAGTACAGTTCTTTCAATAATATAAAACACTTAATAAACTAACATCCAATATATACAACTGAAGAACCACAAACAAATTTTCTAATTTAAAGATATATTAAACTAATTTACTTCTTGCCATTTGATCAACTTCTTTTATAGATTAACTCTTCTCTTTCAGTCATTTAATTCACATAAGATTTATGTGACATTTAAATTTAACAATTTGAGTTCTCATAATAAACTTAGTGGGTAATTATAGCTTATAATATAGCAATTTGTTTTTTTAATATAGCATTTAAACACACATAAAAACAATAATGTTCCTTTGTTGATCTTTTCCATTAACATAAACATTTAATATAAATATAGATTTTCAAATATCTTTATTCCTTTTTTTCATTTCATTTAGTTCTTTCCTCTTTTCATTTATTACAGGTGCACCGCCAAAATTTTGTACCAACGAAGATACAATCATTTACATTTTTATTTCAATTTCATTTTTCATTTAACGTGCTCAAGTATGTTGTGTCCTCAGCCAATACCATAAGAGGGCGAACTCCTATATTTGCATGCATACATTTTTTCCTTCTTTTAATACTTTCATTTACATATTATGAATTATTTTATTCATTTCACTTTCTTTTGTATGTAATTTAATTAATACGTGCACTTTTCTTTTCACATACACACGCGCGCGCGCGCGCACACACACACACTTTAATAAATAAATACGAATGAACATCTAATATATATATATATATATTACATTGCACATTTAATTGCTAAACTTTTATCATTTTGGAACATAATGAACACTTAAACTTTAATAAATAAATAGGAATGATATTATATTTAAAACTGAAATGAAAAACAAAATAATGTAATTGCTATGTAATAAACATAATCATCTGTTTTACTTCTTTCTTGATTAAATCTTTTTCAAACTTTCACAGTTTCTAAATGGCCTATTTAATATAACACCTAGGGTCACATACATAATTACATAAATTTGTATTGTTATCTTACAACTAACTTTAACTAATTTCAAATAAATTTTCAATGAATATATATATATATATATAACTTTACTGAAACACTCCTTAAGATCTCTTATTGACTACAATACTTTATTTCAGTTCAACAATTTAAATCCTACAATGTTTCAAATGATATTCATTTGCTTTGAATATACCATTTAAATAACATTAAATATTTCTAAATTATCACAACATTGCTATAATTTTATAATCTACACTTAATCTCTAAAATAAAAAAATTAACTATCAATAAATGACATTAATTACCTCAATTTATCTCTCTCTTCAATGAATCAAAACTTTCACCATCAAAATTTATCACAAAATTTTGATTCACCAAAATATAATTATTAAATTTCTTCCTTTTACCATAAAAAAAATTTACTTACTTTTCACCAATAATAAGAGAGTTGAACATTCTTCTTTGCTGCATTCTACTCAAAACCAACTAAACAAAGCCTATCTTATGAAATAAATTACATCAATGGACTGTTAATTTTTATATATGATTGAAAGTTAATTATTCTTAAATTAAAAATTACCACGATAACGTTCTTTTCTCTTCTTCCATCCTCAACCAATTTCATTTCTTTGCCGTTAAATAAAACATTGTTCTCTTCTTAGGTTAACATTACAAAATAATTTGGAAAAAAATGAAAATTTTCATGAACATTCCTTCTCCTTCTTCTTCTTCCTATTTGTTAGCAATTTTCCCTAACTTATGTCTTTCTCTCATGTAATTTTACAGGATTGAGCGAAATGAATTTTTCTTACATAAGGAGTCGCATATTTTTACTTCCGAACGAATCGTTTTGCACGATTACATTTGTTCAATCGATCCCGCAATCGCTAGCTCGTTCACTCGCACATCCCTCTTGCTGTGCGATCCTACTCGCTGGTTTTGGAGGATGGAATCTGTGGCGTCAGCCCATAGGGTTTCTAGTTTTTCTATTAGGGTCAGTTCAACAGAACCGTCCAAGCCGATTCTAACAGTTTCAGCCTCCCGCATCTTTGATCATTCCACTCAAGTCTAACCTGGTGAACATTAGACCTTTGATTCATCCCTTATGCAATTCATGTTCATTCCACTACGGATAGGATCCTTGGGTTCATCCCAACCTCGTCGTTCATGGATGTTCTGACGTTCAATGCATCCTCATGCTTGCTCCCACTTATGACAGTATGTCTAGAACATCTAGGATAACACTGTAGCCTAAATTGGGAT